ATAAACAAACACACACACACACACATGAAGAAACACACACACACACGCACACACACACACACGCACACACACACACAAACACATACACACAAACACATACACATACACACAAACACACACACACAAACACACACACACAAACAAACAAACACACACATAAACAAACACACACACTTTACTTTACTACAGACGAGAAACAAACAAGCATCCCAATTGCACGTTACATTAGCCAATATATATCTAAAACATTAAAAGAAACAAATTTAGAATTACTATTAGATATAGCTTTGGAATTTTCACAAAAAAAAAGATTCTATAGATCATAATCTTCATAAAAAAAAGCTTATTTTTGGTGTAAATCTCATGGTAAACGCTTTCTCGGTATTTACGTTATACAGTTTCAGAAGTGAGGCTGCTTTTATGCTGTAAAAGGAAAGTGATATTAGTTTAATGTCTCCTAAAAAGTTCTTGTTCCTCTTCTCTTATTTTGGTGTTCCTCTCCTCCTTTCCCTTTCTCTCTTTCCTTTCTTTGTTTTCGGTTTTTGTCTTCATCTTTTTCCTTTCTTTTACTTTGTCTCTACTTCTGTTCGTTTTTCTTGTTTCTACTCTATCTTTCTCTCTCTGTCTTCTTCGTTTTCTTTTCCGTATCTCTCTATTTCTTTCTATTTCTTCTTTCTTCCTCGCTCTCTCTCCTTCCCTATCTTTCTCTCTCTCTCTCTCTCTCTCTCTCTCTCTCTCTCTCTCTCTCTCTCTATCTATCTATCTATCTATCTATCTGTCTGTCTCTCTCTCTTTTTCTTTCCCATCTCCCTTCCCTTCCTCACAAGGGACACTTCGGGAAGAGGTTAGTTTATTTTAGTCCTTTATTTACCACCCTGGCTAACTGCACGGGCGTGGGATAGTGAAATCTGGCGTGCAGAGTCCGCAGAGTATAAAGCCTGGCGCGCGTCTGGGAAAAGTCTCGTGTGATTAGCGGGGGGGGGGGGGGGGGTTGAAGATCTTTTATTTTTCCTTTTGACCTAGATTTTTATTAACCTATATTTGCGAGGGATTTGATTTTTATGGATCATGAGATCACTTACTGGTTTTATATTTTTTATATGTTCGTCTGTTTTGTTACGAATACAATTGTAAAGAGATAAAAATAAATTCCTTTGTTATTATTTCTATTTATTTTGGTTACTTTTCAATTCCGTTCATTTTGGTTAATGAGAACCAAAGAAAATAGTTTTTTTTCACTCTAATCTATATCTTTTTTCACTCTAATGATAAAAATGCACTGATAGATAAATAGATAGATATTGAAATAAACTGATAAATAAATATATAGATACATTAACATGATAAGCAGATCCGACTCTTTTTCTTTTAATCGAAAATTCGCGATTATTTAAAAGGAATCTGATTTTATGGATTTTGCTTCAGAACGGAAAAATAATGTTTTGTCTTTTGATCGAAAATTTGTTACTATTTACGAAGATTTTTTAAAATGTATTTCATGGTCAGAGTATTTACTTTCCCGGTTTATTTCATTGTGTGTACTTTTATTGTTATGGATTTATATGGATTTAGATAGATAGATAAATAAATAGATAGATAGACAGATGGATTGATAGATAAATTGAGGAAGAGAGAGAATAGATAGGTAGACAGATATATAGATGTAGAAACAGATTGATAGATAGATTAATACAATAATAGAGAGAGAGAGAGAGAGAGAGAGAGAGAGAGAGAGAGAGAGAGAGAGAGAGAGAGAGAGAGAGAGAGGGAGAGAGAGATAGGTAGAAAGAGAGAGAGAGAGAGAGACAAAGAGAGACAGAGAGAAAGACAGACAGACAGACAGACAGACAGACAGACAAACGGACAGACAAACAGACAAACAGACAGACAAGCAGACAGAGAAAGAGAAAAAAAAGAGACTAACGTTAAAAACAAAGGTAAATTAAAAATAAAACAAACGTACAGAAAACAAGTAATGGGACAATGACAAAGACAGGCCGACAGAGCAAGTGCTATTCCTCCAAATAGGCCTAACAAAAGCTAAGCACTTTTACCGACACTTACAAATGGTCTAATTAGTTAGGGAAGGGAAATAATCTATTTGAAAGAAAAAGGGTTTTTTTCATATCATTATTATTATTATCATTATTATTATTATTATTATTATTATTATTATTATTATTATTATTATTATTATTATTATTATTATTATTATTATTATTGTTATTATTATTATTATTATTATTATTATTATTATTATTATTATTATTATTATTATCATTATCATTATTATTATACGTGAGGTATAATAGGTATATTATTAAGATTTGAGTTATTTATAAGTGCTATTACATACCGACTTTATATACGGTCACTATTAATTATAACTATATTTTTTTTAGTATGAACGGTGATGATGATGATGAAAATACTAATGCTGATGGTAATGAGGGTATGATAATAATTATATTTTTTTCCTAAATACGTCCTTCTCTCTTATCTCTCTCTCTCTCTCTCTCTCTCTCTCTCTCTCTCTCTCACTCTTTCTCTCTCTCTCTATCTATCTTTCTCTCCTTCGTTTCCTCACACCTCTTTCCCTCTCTTTTTTTCTCTGTCTCTCACTTTATCCTCTCTCTCAATGTCCTCTGTTTACTCTACATTATGCATTGTGTCAAGGTACTAAATCCTACACATAATACGAATAATAATAACAAATAAGAAAACAAAAAGAAAGAAGAAAGGAAAAGAAAAAGAAAAAAAAAAAGTAAAAATGCAACCCGAAGACAAGATGGATTAAAATTATAATTAAAAAAAACATAATCGAACACTCGTTAATTTCAACCTATTAATTACCTTTATCATCATAATCTTACAGTATTATCACCTGCTTTAATCAACACTTTAGCGACTTTATCATTGACACTTCCTAATGTCATGAAAAGAATCCTGATTTGGCTTTCTAACCAATTCGTCATGCAAAATGCCTTTATGCATGGTACAGTCTGTCATGCAGCAATAACTATCAGTGTGTGTCATTTCTGGTGATTGCTATGCTGTCAAGGGAAGTCATCATTTATCAATTTATTTGTTAACAGGTTTTTTTTGTTTTGTTTTTTATTAATGCCTGCACAATCTTTAAAGGTATGTAAGAACGCTTGCGTTACGGTATGCACGACAAAACAGATGAATAATTGATTCAAGGAAACAATTAAAATTGAAACGTACATAGTGTATACACAGAGACGATAGAAACATGCATATGCACACATACATACATGCATATATATATATGCCTATGCATATATGTGTGAGTATATATATAAATACACACATGCATGCATGCACACACACACAAACACACGCGCGCGCAATTTTTTTCTTGTGCATGTGTGTGTGTGTGTGTTCTAGATATACGAGAGATGAAGATAACAGGGGATTGATCACTTGTTCGTCTGGATAGGTTTTGCTAAGAGGTTCAAAAGCGGGGGGGGGGGGGTGTTGAATATTATCTCGTATGCTTTATCTTTTCCTTCTCATTTCTTTCTGTCTCTTTTTTTTTTACCATTTCTTTCACTCCCACTCATCTTTCTATCTTCCTTATATCCCTC